GCTGCAGGGTGAGGACTAAGGCAGCTGGGAGATCAATATAGATGTTACCCAGTGATCATCCGATGGATGCTCAAGCCTGTGTCGTCGTTGTGGCAGCATGCACGTTGAAGACTATTTAGGGAAACAGTTAGAAAGTAGTGATGTTTAGAATTTGTTAGGATCGTTCAGCCAGTTTAGGGTCGCTGAAATAAAGTGTTAGGGTTTAGTCAGGTTCCCTATTTAGCTAGGATAGCTAACGAGTAAATATATTTTGATTTGTTTGGTTAGGATGTGGTCATGGTCTGTCCTTTTAGATAGGTTTTTGGCAGACTAAAGTCATAGCCTCCTCGGTGGTTACTTGTTGGTAAGATGATAGCTTCCGAGCAGTGTGTGGCTAGCCTGTAGTAAAGGCTGATCACTGATGTAAGTTGCCTATCACAGGTAGAGCTCCAGCTAGGGATATTCACCCCTTCAGCTGTGAAAGAGGGATGTAGTCTAGGCTCTACTCTATGAGTAGAATCACTGGCTGAGTGAATAGATTCATAATTAGAATGCTTTGAAAATGAACTAAGAGAAAAGAATGGAGCATCTTGACATTATTGATTTGTAACCCAAAACGAGTAACATGTAAAAAAGTGAAATAAAGTATATTTTTAAAGATTATTCCAGTTTATATTCATAAAAGTACCTCTCGCTATGCATTAGAGCTATACCCCTCAGTACAGTACCTACCAGTCCCCAATTACGTTAATTTCTAATATTCTTAAGTGATTTCCCCAATCCCGAAAAGGTCCTGGGACCTAAAAATATTGTCGTAAGGCAGTCTCCATTTTCTGTCTATGTTCCTCGAAGTTTAGGTAAAAAAAACTCTACCTATTCCGATCCTTGATATAATCTGTAAGCGACAAAAGGAATTTGAGAATTTAAAATTTTTTTCTTCCAACCATTCTATTCCAACCATTATCATAATATATAATTATTTTGTTTTACTTGACTTCGTTGTATTTAGACACGCAATAGTTTTACTACTTTATTTTATATTCATTATTATTGTTAGCGTTAGTGATGATTATATCCTCAATTTTGCTATTTTTTTTCCAAAAGGATTGACTTAACACTTTCGCTTGTATGCGGAATCGACCAAAACCATTTGAGGTTGCATCGACCCTTAAGACAATAAGAATATAATAACGCGCACACACTCATGGCCCCGCACTAGGGAAGCCCTGTATCGCAGGTGCCATGGACATACGCATAGACAACCATAAATTACGCCAAAACTCACGAGAGAAATAAATGTAGGCCATACAAATATTTCTTTCAGTCCGGAAATCGAACCCGGGTCCTCTGCGTCGCAGTCCGGAATGGTACAAGTTCGGCCACGCAGGCAGTTAATAATGTTTGTAAAACTAACCAATGGAAGTTAGTTATCTGAATAAATAAGTTATACTATTACATTGATTCAAAAGGCATAAAATATAAATCATTGAATTTTGTCAGTACGTTATTGATACTTCTCTATGGTAAAATAGTAGGCGTCAACTACACAGAAAGCCTTGGAAATTGCACTGTAAAGCCCGTAGTTGTTTTTTTGATGTCCATGTAGCGAGATGAGGTACCCCGGACTATTCTTATATTTAAAGCGATTAACATACTGCACCGCGCCCCGACGGTGCGCGGGACGCGGAATCACGCGCGCCGTGACGAAATTTTCATCTGCACGGGGGCAGCGGTCTAGCGGCCCCGCGCCACTTAAAGTACTTGCTTGGTAGTTGATCGCCGTAGTGATTGTACTTGTAATTGAGATCCTTCTTTAACAAGAATGGTTAATAATACAGAACTCATTCATGACGCTGCAGTTATATTGTCTATATGGTTTTTGTTTACTCAATAAAAAGACACCGAAGATAACATTCAACTTCACTACAAAGATTTAAGAAAATATGAAGATTAATTTTTCAACTAAACACGTATGTCAACTGCATCCTTTGATTATTCGTTAGGGAAAATCCGAACGATAATTACATTGATTAAAAATCTGCGCGGTAGTGCGGAGCGCAATGTGCCATACTCCTTGGCGCGGGGGCGCGGTAAAGCGGGCGGAGAAGCGTTGTCAGTGTATTGGACGGCGCGTGTTTTCCATACAAACTGAGGTACTTCTGTACAACGTTAAAAAACGCAGCTCTGCGCTCCGTCGCGGGACGCGGTGCAGTGTGATAATCGCCTAATTTCCCGATAAACGCTGTTACTGTTCATAAGCGGGTAAAGGTTTTATTTAGAATATTGCGTATGTAGAGATTGTAACAAGGTTTTTTACTACTCCTCTACTATCAATTAATTAGTCAGTCAATTATAATGTCATAAACCATTATCATAAAGGGGCTCTTTTTAGTTCTGAATTATAAAAATATATTGTCAATGGAACTCGCTACTGAACTGAAAACACAGCTGTAATGAAATTTAGTAGCAATAGAGCTTGTGAAAGAGTTCGTCCTGGGTAGTACTGCCACCTTTACAAGCGTAATGTCCACATTACTTTGTTCTGGTTTTGAAGGGTAAGGGTGCTGGTGAAATTACATGCACGTCGGACTTGTCAACTTATACCTCAGGGTGACGGGCGCAGTGGCAGTGCCCCTCAAATCTTTGCGGTTTAAAGCTCTGAGTGGCACTGCAACTGTTATGGACAGGCGTGTAGCTTACCATCAGGCGTACGACTTGTTCGCCCGACTTAATATTATAAAAAAAAAACTATTATAAGTTTCAATAATCTCAGTATAGAGTACTGAAAAAAATCGACCTTAATAGTTCGTTGGAATTACATCTATTTGCCAAGTGTTATTGAAATCGGCTATTGGAAAGTGCGCGAAACCGGATTCATCCCCTAGTTTGCCAAACTAAAAAGGTAGAAATATTTTCATCAAATTTAAATGGGACCACTATTGAGGTATCCTCTTCCCAACAAAAAAAGAATCATAGAAATCGGTTCACAAATGCTCGCTCGAGTTATCGCGTGACATACGTACAAAAAAAGTATATAGAACGTCCTCCTTATTTTGAAGTCGGTTCAAAAAAGAACGTCGTAGTTTTACTAATTAAAATATTAAATATAACGCTATTTAGACGCTCTACTGCCTCCTGATTTGTACTTGTCCACTTCTATTCTTTCTCTTTGGTTTCTTGTTTTATAGCGTTTATTTGTCTTTCCTTTGATTTTGTTGTTATGGATTATTAACAAAATTGACATTAAAATTGGTTGTGTTCCGATATTTTATTTACTCCTAGAAAAAGTATTGTATGCAACCATTATTAGGCAAAGCCTCACTATACGCGACACTCGGCTTTAAGAAACCTCATTAAGGAACGATTGCATAAAATACCACATTATGCTTCACGCTAGTAATAATAATAAACAACTTTTAATATGAGAAAAAATATTTTGATTTCCCATACACTTATCCGTTTATGTCATTAAGTCCAAAGTAGAGTCATTACGTGAAATATACGCGATTTAGATTCGAAAACAATAGTTTAACTTAGTCTTGTAATTTTTATAGTTTGACTTTTACGTTCTTTCTTCCCCGAAGCACCAAATTAAGTCAGAGACGGTTTGTTGAAGATTTCGACTAGGAATGAATACTAATAGCGGTACTTGACTTTACGGTTCAACTTGTTTACGTATTTTTTATAGTAATCAGTAGTCGTGTTGTTTTGGTATATTTTGTCGGTATTTAATTCTTTTACTACGTCTTGACTTTAACGTCACCCGTTGATGTCTTTTGAATGACGACGAGCGATAATCATCCGTGCAGGTACACCGGCGTCTAGGTATAATTATATTATTCTAAGGCTGGTTTGACAGCTGTGCTTACGGTCCGTACGGACTGTCCGCCTGCAGGCCATCCGTATCCGTAGAATCCGCAGTGCTCTGAATCGAGTATCTAATTTAGTGCCGATATTCACGGAAGACAGTTGCCTACAATGAACGCACGGGTGGCTAGTGCGGAGTTCACGCGAAACGTATTCCGTACGGAGCAATCCGCGTTACTGTAAAACGATTTCTAACGCCCCACGTGTTACTCCGCTCCAGTGCTCCGCGCGGATTAACGCGCACCACTCTGGAACCAGTCTAAATATCTCTCGGCAGATTTCGGCTGTCGTCGCATTCCTATCAACTGATAGGAATACGAATGCCCTTGGCACATGATGCTGACCGAACGTACTCAATGCACTTGGACGTAAATAGAGTAATTACAATTCTTTATCTTGGCTCACCCGAGACATTAGCCTCTTGAGGACCGGATAAAGTCAGTGATAACTGTCTCTAACAGTCCTGTACACTGGCTGATCTGTGATCAGAACCTGAAGTTAGAAGGTTTCTATGCACGCACAGGTTATTATAGTGCCCTTCTCATACACCCTAAGGGTCGATAGTCACTATAATCAAAATTAGAAAGGTACGGGGCTGTTCTTTGTCTTGGTTATATATTTTCGAAGGTCAGACGAAAATATATTATTGAAACTCTAGTAACATAAGAGCTCCTTGTGAAAGGGAAGTACTGCCACCTTACCTATTTCCGCAAAGCAGTAATACTGGTGTAGGACTGGTGGAGTAGTACTGGTGGTGGTGAATTTACAGAGAATGGGACTTACGTCTTAGGGTGACGAACGCAGTGGCAGTGCCTTTCAGATCTTTGTGATTTAAAGCTCTGAGTGGCACTGCAACTGTTTTGGACAGGCGTCTTACCATCAGGTTGTACTTGTTCGTCCTGTCACTTGGTATCATAAAAACTAAGAAATAATAATAACCGGAAAAATGTTCATTTTTAGCAAAATAAAAGAACACTTTATACACATTTATATTTTTGCTTATAATATTGTTAAGGAGTAAAAATTACTACAAAAAGGGACATAGGTTTACAGCTGTGTATAGTTAATGTGGAAATAAAAAAAAACCACAATACAGTATGTAATTCAAATTATTATCGATGATACATCTAACAATTTCTTGACAAAGAAAGTTGTATTCGGGTGCATACGGGCATCAGGATTACCGAGAGTATTTAAGTTGTACGTCCGCCATTTTTTAGTTGCCGATGACGTTACGATGCTACAAAACAAATGTATTGCCAATTATTTGGAGGTCCGATAACACGTTTAGGCTGTGTTAGGCGACATAGAATGCACCCGCGCATTTACACATAAAATTTGTACTTACTTTAAACATATTTCATTCTTGAACTATAGTAATGTGGTCTATCAAGTATATAACAAAATTGTGTGTGACTAAAATTTAAGCAAAACTTACTTGTAGTTTTGACCACTGTATCCTGCCAATGCAACGACTAGCATTCCTCCAAGCTAGCTTGCAGCCGAACACTAATTCTGTGGTGGTGAGCTGGTAAGTGCCAGATCGTGCAACTTCGTCTTGAACTGCTTGCCAACGCGCTTCGTGGGCAGGGGTGTTGGCTCTGTTGAGAAAGATTTTAGGATGCAGTAATAATTACAAGAATCTGAGAAAGGGATAGAGAGTTATACAATTGACCCCAAATCTCTTAATACGCCAATTCATTAATACGAACAACATTTCGCTCCTTCGGTGTAATAAAGCTATATCTGCAAAACGATACATTTTCAGGAGATAGATTTTTTTAATAAGGTCAAGTGACGAAACGAACAAGTCGTGCACCTAATGGTAAGCTACACACCTGTCCATAAAAAATTGCAGTGCCACTCAGAGCTTTAAATCGCAAAGATCTGAGAGGCACTGCCACCGCAGCCCGTCTCTTTGAGAGGCACTGCCACCGCAGCCCGTCTCTTTGAGACATTAGTTGACAAGTCCCATGTGCCTGTAATTTCACCGGCAGCAACAAAGCTGACATTACTGCTTGGCGGCAGAAATAGGAAAGATTCAAACATTCGAACGTATTCCATTCGATAAAGCTTAAATAGGAGAGTTGCAAAATTTCACATATATTTATAATTTGTGTCATGTATAGTCGTCAGAATTTAAGAGGCCCAATTTGACAACCAAAGAAGACAATAGTTTGTAACTTTGAATGCAATTAACGAAACAATCAACAAACAATTATCAACTTTCTGGGTTTAAAAAATACAATATTCATTTTAGTGAAGCATTGTACAACATGATAGAACAAATTTCAAGTGTTATTTTCGCATGAATTTCAATAAAATGCAATTTTGGGTTAGTCCGAAATATCGTAAAAACAATTACGTCCTCAGTCTTTTTTCTTAAATAATAGTGTTGTAACCAATTAATCGATAAATTTCAACGTGTCAATTCAATTTCACTTAAAAAAATATTGACTTTTAATTTTGATTTTGACAGAGATTAACATTGATAATATGTATCGAGTTCTTAGGTTTTCGCGATTGTTACACATAGGAAATGAAACTATTTTTTTTAATGAATTTACTTGAACTTAATAAAAATTCATTCAATAAAATAATTTGTAAAACTTAATGTAGCGTAAATTGGAATGTTTTCTTTGTAAAATTAAAAATAAGGTAATTAATTAATAAAGTTTGCATCAATATTAGACATAACTGGTTGAAGACTGTACCACCTCAGTCAACCGTGACCATGGGACCTGTAAAGGTCCCGAAACGTCGGTTTGTTTGAAAAAACAAATTTACTCGATTTAAATCCAGAAAAATAGTTTCATTTCCTATTGATAATATGATTGAAAATCAAATATTATACA